TACTGACGCTTCTGTACCACTCCTATATCCTAACAACCACAGGGGAACCGTACATGATAGAGTTGTGGAGATGGGTGAAATTAATGGGTGTGTTCGGCTACAGAAGAACTGCTTCATGACACCAAGGTGGCATGCAGGGTGCAACAGTGCATCCTAGTGGCCTAGAGGAAAATCACAGGAAGCATTTAAAAAATGTGCCCAGGTTAAAATATTTTTGTGGGGCTTTAATTTTTAAATGACTTAAAAAACTGATTAAATTCTGCAAATTATCTTGATGTGTAGCAGCACAGTGCCTTTTAATTTCTTATACTACAGGTTTAGATAAAGCTCTTTTTTTAGGGGCCATTGCCTTTTTGCTGTTGGGGAAGGCCAAGATGACATAATCATGCTTTATCAATGCTGCTAAAAAGTTCAACTAAACCTAAACTGACAAAAAACAATTGGTTACGTGTAGTGGTATGCTACAAGTGATGCTCATGAAAAGAGACAATAAAAGAGATGAGATTTGGGGTGTGTGGTTTAGATGATATGAGTATATCATATATGGTGTACAGTATTTATAGCCGAGTCCATCCATGCAGAAAAAACAATCCCAAACTGAGGCAGAGGCACACACATACCTGCACACATGGTCACTGCACACATTCACTTGAAAACACTCAGCCATCCATACACACAGCTCCTGTCACACTATTCCATAACATGCATCTGTGCACACACATTCACATTCAATTACATGAAGTTAGATGCACTCATGCAGGAAGGCACACACAAACACACAATTGCATGCATACAGGTATTTTAGGTGTGTGATTGTGTGTGTTGAGTGCACATTTGAGAGCTCAGTTTCTAGAAACAATACATAAATCACAGAAACAATGGCAGCAGTCAATGGTGTGTGTGTGTGTGCGCGTGTGCCTACAGTGCTGCCGAACAGGCCATGATGTCACTCTGCTGGCAAGAAATATATGACTGAAGATCTTTATTCTTTGAAGATTGTTTTTAGGCTCATGACTCTATGACAATGCCTATCATTGTCCCCAGAGGATAAATTCTGCTGCCTGGGTCATCCGGATTTCGCCTCCAACGCCACCAGCAGGTTGACATTTTAGTTTTTTAGTGACAGAACTATTGGATGGATTGCCATTAGTACCACTTGCAGGTCAAAGGTTTCACTTAACATCTAATGTATTCATTAGCACAAACCTTTGTACAGCCATTCATGGTTCCCATAGGATGCATCATGATGATAACCTGACCTTGCCACAAATGTCTATCACTATAATACATTCACGTTCTCCTTAGGATGAATTGTAATAACTGTGGTGATCCCTAATCCTTAGCTTAAAATCACAATACTTGTGACATTCACCATTTTCAGCTGCTCTTTGTGCTTAGCGCTAATTAGCAAAATGCTAACATGCTAAACTAACATGGTGATTAGTTATACCTGATTAATACTGACATGCTAGCATTGTCATTGTGTGCATGTTTAGTCTTGTTAATACAACAGAGATATTGCTGCTCTGATCATGAGTTTCATATAAAGATTTACCCTGATATTTCCCCAACCTAAAGGACTTTGACCCAACTTTTCTTGCCCTCACATACAGTCAAACTTGCCCTTGTTTTGTCAGTTTTATTTTGCATGCATATGACCTACAATATGTGTGGTATTGTTTCTGAATACAGAGGCTTCAGAGATTGTGTACAGTTACGCCTCTGATGAACAGGATGACCAAAGACTCATATTCTGGGGAGGAAATGAGCCAGATGTGGCATGTTGCTTCTCATTAGTGACACGCAGCTCAATCTTTTCCCTGTTAAAACAAATACGCTGCCTAGACTGTGTATGTGACAGCTGGAGATGAGTATTCAGTTAAGTGGAAGAAAATAAATCAAAGGACTTGCCATCTTTTTGTGATGATTTGTCTAATTCTTGTCTGGTATGTCCAGGAGGAGGAAGGGGAGGCGGGGGGGCTGAAGAGGGAGTTGGGAAATGAGGAGATGGTGTGTGTGTGTGTGTGTGGTAGGGGAACAGAGCAACTCAGAGAGAGACAGAGAGAAAGTGTGTGTTTGGACCAGCTGCACAGCAAATCTGTTTATTCTGCACAATTTGGCATCAAACACAACAGACTGCTGAGTGCTTGCTACTGCTTGTGGTGCCCCATTAAAATGGAATTTATTGCTGCCTTAAGAGCAAGCCCGAATTACACATTTTTCCGTCTGCGCTCCGTCCTTCTCCCTCTCTCTCTCTCTCATTTGCACTTTTTCTTTTTACCCGGCTGTGGTGGTGGTAGCGGGGTTTTTTTTCCACTTCTAGCAGCAGCTGTCAGACAAGTCGTCAGAGCAGCTCATTACAGGCCCAAACGGGCAGGTATGGTTGGCATGCCCACCTACCCGTCAGCCATCACTGCCATCTCCTCTCTCACCTGAGTGAGTGGTGCTCAGACATCACATTGAAGGGAACCTGAGCTGTCCATGAATGCGGTGGCATCTCATGCAGCCATCACTCACTATACACTACACGTCACAGATGCTAAACCATTTTTAGTGTTTCGTTGTCCTTCACTTCCCCCTCAAGAGGCCAGTCAACTGGTCCAAAGGTGTGTCATCTGAACAGGTAAGGAGACATTCTTGTCGTTTGCAGGCAGCTCGTGTTATGTGGGTATTTTTAGATGGTTAAATGTCACAACTCTGTTTCAGCTGCATCCAGATGACAGTGACTGAAATAATCAAGTTCAAGATTTAGGACACATAACATCACCAGGCTGACAACCTGTTACCCAATTTAATATACACTTGTAACCAGACTTTGAACTTACGCTGTGAAGAGAGTGTGAACTCTGGGCCTGCATTTCGCTCCATAAATCTCCTCAGCCAATGATAAATTCATATTTAATGACCATGGCTATCGTCTGGGAAGGAGGAGCATTCTTTCATTATTGCCTCTTTCCCCTGCTGCTTGGTCGAGATAATTGATTTCTCTGTGGTAACAAGGTATCGACCACGCATGGTAGCCGGCTAAGACGGTGGTTCGATTCAAAGGAGGGGTGGAGAGGGAGCAGAGGGGAGAAAAAAATAGAGGGAACAAGGGATGAAGCCGAAAGAAGAGATAGAGTGAGAGAGCAAGAGCATTGAAAGCCAAGACGCAGGACAATTATTTGCAGTTAAAAAAAACTCACCGGTGTTAGGTGGGTGTAGTTTGGACAATGACTCTTTTTCAGGGCTTTTATAAGCCTAGTGCAGAACATAGTTTGGTATTTCAGTGTTGTATGTTTAATTCACCAAATGGAAAGCATATTGATCACACAATCTGTCACATAATTCATTGAAAACAGTGTCAGGAACAAGTCTGGAGGACCACTTTTCAAGCACATGCTTAGCCTGCTAAGGAAGCACTATATTGGTCCTTGGTCCTCATGTTTATACATTTGCAGCTTAGCACTTTTGTTCTCTAAATCTGACAAACTGCTCCTTTTGCATGGCCCATTTTTCTGTGATTTCGAATGTGTACGATGCCTAGCCTGATCCATCAGTTGATCTTCCAAACTAGTGAGCCGATTCTACAAGAACAACACAAGAACATAGAAATGCCCCCAGCTAGTGACAAAATATGTAAAACACTGTTTTTGCAAGTAGTCAAATACAAGACATGCAATGATCACTTGTCTAGCGGTTAACACAGTTTTTTACTTTAACAAACCCATTGACTATATACACGATCAGATGGTTGGATTGGCTGTTATTGAGTTAACATCTCTGAGGTGCTGACATTATTGGCACTGACCTCAAGCAGGCAACACTGCAGACACCCACTACATGCTGCACAGACAGAGCTTGACACGTATAGACTGTATTTTCAATCAGTCAATAACAGCAATAAACCTTATGAATTGAATACGGTATTGATTGTATTCAGGTTCCAGAGGTGGTTAACATTTCTGTTGGTTCCTTTGGCATCACTGCCTGCAGTTCACCGTATAAATAGAGGAATTAAATAGTGCTGTTGTTGTTGTGTGTTTACCAGCTTACATTGTAATTTATTTAAGAGCTCTTAATTGGACTAGTTACTCATTTGGCCCTCGTTGGTCCCACAGCAGAGTGGAGCTCTATCACTGCACACTGGGGCATGCTGGAATATGGAGCTACAGAGACACACTGTACACAGCCAGCTGTTTGATGTCTGCAGCCGCCGAGCGTATGCTGCACCGTACAGCATAAATAAACACACAATCCCCCGATGAGAGGACAGATCGACACACAGGAGACCTTATTTCAGGCTAATGAACTATTAATGCTGATTTGAAATTCAAACATTTTTTGGGGGTGTTCTCTGCAGTCATTCATGGCTCTTTGTGTGTGTGTGTGTGTGGGTGTGTGAGAAAGAAAGGAAGAACAAACTAATTTGGATGAACTCTGCACACCATATTTTCATTTCTCCCCCAAACAGCTGGGCTTGGATCTCAAAGGGCCTTATGTGTTGTTGAAGCTCTGTATTGAATGAGGCCATATAAAATGTATGTCAATGGGTTCAGCCTGGCTTAGCACTCTCCACAGCAACTGTTAATGGAATAACTATAAGATGTATAAATGATCCCTGCTTTAATTCATAATAATGTTAGACCTCATCGCCTGCCCACTCAGCCCAATAGATTATGGAAATAGCTGTAATGACTATTGGAACAATGAGCCAAATTGCATTATCATTCAGTGCCACATCGGCTTTGGAATAACTCGAGCCGTGCTTTTGCTCTTTCACTGAAGATCTTGAATAACAATGGCCAACATTCAATTTACACCAGGAAAATGAAAATTAAGAGGGTTAAACACAAATGAAGGTTTTAGGCTGTGTGAATTATGCATTAATAACAATAATAATAGGGCAATGCTAATCGATGAGTTTGGTTTGAATTGCTGGTAACAAAACCCACACATCCGACATGTACGCCTCACATGCCCATCTCAAGCATAAAGAAAACCCACCAAGACAAAAGAACCAGTGTCTTCAGGTTTTATTTTCAGCTCAACCATGGACTTTTGTGTGATCTTATTTGAGCTCAGACAAAGCAATAATGGTTAAAATTCAGTCCATAAAATGTTGAAAGTAACTACATCTGTTAGACAATATTTCATTAGAGAAATAGAACCATATAATGGAATAAATGTACAAGAATGTATAATACATAATGTGGAGTCTTACAGCCTCAAACAACGCATGTATTCTTCATTGATAGGCAAAACATGGCTAGATAGTTTTAATGACCAAATACTGTGAATCAGTTTTTGTCGACATTTCTTCTCTAATTAATTAATACTTGAACCAGTAATCTCATCACATTAAAATCTGGAGCTGATAAAAGGTGACAGTGAGAGCAGCAGAGAGAAGAAATTCACTAGGGGAAAAAAAAAAAGCTACTGTGGATACAAACCTAAGTGTGCATGCAAATCAGTTATCACATTCATAAATTAAAGAAGCTCCAGATTTTATTTTGTAATGACCACACAGATGTGCATCTCAGATCTCTGGCTCATGAGAGGGAAAATATTGGATGAACTATCCTAAATCACAGGAATAATTTCTAGTATTTCCAGTGATGTGTCGATATATCAGTGTAAGTGTCAGTAATACTGACTGGCTGTGTGCATAGTATACAGTCGATCACTCATTATTTAAAGCTTGCACATCAAATGTGGTGCAACAGCATCCTCTAGTGGCTGTGAACTCCCTGGTAGAAAACACATGAACTCAGATTGTTACAGATACAGTGCAAAACGCAACATTATTCCCATTAGTATCAGTGTTTACATTGTAGTATTGTTAGTAGTAGTATATAGATTGTCATGATTGGTATACATCATAGTACACAGTCAACATAAATATAAAAGAAAAATGTGGCATCATGAAAACAAATAAGACGTTAGTTTCAGGACAATGCTGAGGTAACCAAAGCCAAAAGACAAAGAAACACTGGCCAATAATACAACTTATTTTTTCTTTGTTCAATGCAGCGGTGTATTTCATGGGGGCTTGAGCACCCCTGTTGCTGTGGTTACAACCACAGGTCCAAAGAAGGACCAACACCAGTGAATGCATAGCTTCTGTTCTGAACATGCAAGTGTTCAATACAAAGCAGAAGATAATAATCCTCAAATTGGTTTCTAATGGGTGCTTGGTCATTAAACCTCTTACAATCACAAAGTTGCCACCACAGTTTTGGTCAATAATAAATCATTCGTAATCAAAGATATAAAAACAAATATAAAAACACACGTGCAGGAATCTTTTCAAAGAAAAACTGGTTAGCAAGTCTTGCATAAAACACTGGAGAAAAAACCTCCGCAATAAAACGGTTACATGCTTAAATTGCACAGTAGTTTTCCCACATGATTATGTGAATATATATTCAGTTATTGCAATAAGAAACCCAGAAGTACAATATGGGTGAACTTTCTTGTTCGCCATTATTTCAGCTGTGGAGAAGCGAAGAAGTTTCCCTGGCGGTTAGAGGCAGCTGATCCTTTGCTCTTGCTCCCAAATCTAAGAGTGTGGTGGGGG